GTACAGTATTTGCTGGTAATCTTGGTGCTAACCGATACATTGTACAAGTTACTCAAATGGGAGTGCGTCTTTTGCAAGGCATTGAACAGGTATTTATGTTAACTTTTAAATATTTATTGATTTTATTTGTGCGATTTTTGCTTTTCATAATTTTTTTTTAAATAAAAAAGACTAACCTTATGTAAAATATTTTACAAACTGTGTCTAAAAATAAACTAGTTAGTCAATTGACAGTCATCAGTTTATTTAATACATATATTTTATTGCGAATGTAATTTTTATATATTTCAAATACAAATTTTGCAAAAGCAAAATATTTTCATATTATTTTTCTTCTTTAATTTGATTGCCTGCATTTTCATAATACTAATTTTTAAATTTATTATTAATTACAGATTCAACACATGCCCATAGATCTTGGCTGTCCAATTGTGCATGCGAGTTGTGCCGATCCGTACGTAGCATTACTGTCGGAAGATGGACAAGTGATGTTATTAACACTTAGAGAAGTAAGAGGTACAGCGAGATTGCATGCTCAGGCTGCCAATTTACTATTTGTAAGTTTATTTTAATTTTGTAATTAACATTTGACAGTATTATAATATACGTAAATGATTCTTAAAATTTATACTATGTATGTTTAGCGCCCTCAGATAGAGGCATTATGCGCTTATAGAGATGTAAGCGGGATATTTACAACGCAATTACCTGAGAGCGCGGACGACGAGCAGACTGAAGAAGAATACAATGTAGAGGAACCGTCTGTACTTAGCAATATCGACAACGAAGACGATCTACTGTACGGCGATGCCCCAGCATTCCAAATGCCTGTACCATCGTATCCAAAAGCAACAGATGGTACTACTAAAAAACCACCTTGGTAAAATACTTGTCTTTGTTTCACAGTGTGTTTAAAATATTTGACCAAACTTTATCATTATTTTATTAACTCTTTTTTTTATTAGAATCTGAAAAAGGATAAAAATTATTTGGTCAAATATTTTTCTATATTCTAATTTCTATGCCTTTGACATTAAAAGGATGATATATCAACATACATTTTTATGATATGGATTTTTGTAACAGGTGGCAGAGGCATTTACAAGAAATTAAATCCACATACTGGCTACTTGTGTACAGAGACAGTGGGACGCTGGAAATTTATTCCTTACCTGATTTACGATTATCTTATCTTATTCGCAACTTTGGCTTCGGCCAGTACGTGTTGCACGACAGCATGGAATCCACAACTTTACAATCAGCGCCGCTCAATGAGATCCCACATCCGGATATGCAGGTAATTTATCTATAAATGTGCCTCTTTGTGTGTAGAAATCTTAAAAATCTTGTGTCTTAACAAATATCTATTTTTATA